GGCGCCACTGGTTTTTCAAAATTGCTGTTAAAGTAAGGGTCGCAGATGGGTGCCGGCATACTAGTTGCTGAGCCTGTCTACTGTGCTGGTTTCACTGAGCGATACAAATTAGTCCTGCTTATACGAAGAAGTTAGGGTGTTATGAGCGCAGGTCATCGCTTCACCCTTAAAACGATCCGTCTAAACGTGATAATTACGCCAGGAGGCACATTTTGATTCGTAAATGAAACCAAAACGAACTTGTATTTCAGATTTAATTTCTTGCTATAGGCGTTCATTCCGCTTTGTCTCCTAACCCAAGATGTGACTCACAGAGAAATTATTCCACGCCGTCGCGCCTTTGCGCTGCACCAAGTGAGACGGCTGCGAGATACCGACGCCCGAGATACCGACGCCGGAGACGGCCGACGCTGCCAGATACCGAATTCGCCAAGACAGCAGAGACGGCTGTCTACGCTGTCTCGAAGGCTGCTCATGACGATAGATGATGGCAGTCACCCCTCACATTACAAAAGGGGAAACCCCCCACGCTGCCCGCATTCAGCTGATCTAACAACGCAAAACCGATCGGATGCAAGGCCGCTGCATTTTTCCGGGATGAGACGTGTCCTCTGGTAAAGCATATAATTGAAATTTGTTTCGATGGCATGGGCCACGTCAGCGCGAGCCAGCTGCGCACGTGGAGCAGCAACGCGCAGTTGGATAGAAAGGACAGAGGCGCTGTGGCGTGCTTTTCCGTTCCTCTCGGCCTTCCAGCTCCACGACGGCGCGACGCAGACCACTGTCTTGACGAGGACAGTGGGCTGTTCTCCGGACGAACGACAGGCTCCCAGCCAGCACCCCTCAGAAAAATCGAAGCCCTTACATTAGCGTTTCGACGCCTTCGGGTTTATACGGGCAAGCGCACACACTGGTGAGACACCAGCATTGCGTTGGGGTACGGCTGGAACTCGTAGCAAGTCAGAGCGTGAAAGCACGCTCGTGGTTAAGCTCGGGTGCAACTATTGATTTGGCGTCTTCCGAGTTTAATTATGTTCTATGGAGTTACATCAGACTGTTGACAGGCTTTGATTTTTCTAGATGACGTGGTTTTATCTCGCTACATGGCACTCGGCGGTCATGCTGCTCCATTCCCGTGGTACACCGTCTCCATGCAGAGACCTCGATCGTCCTCCTCCTTCCCGGACCCCCGAATGCCTCTCTGTACCATCTCCCTAAAATGCCTTCCAGTATAGCCGCAGCAATAAGCACGGATGAGTAGCTCTGCAATGCAGTGGAAAACATAAGCAAAACAGCTACCGCAGCCTTCATGAGCTGTCACAGATGCAATTCTATCGATTTACGCATTCCCGATGTCGGTAGGGAAGCTCGGACGCAGTTGGAAATGCCTGCGTTAAATGAGCGCCACAAAAAAAAAATGAGCATAGAACTTTTCACGCCGCCTATCTCCTGAGGCAGAGCCCAGCAACACAGTTCCAAACTATCGTAAAAATTTTTTTTTTTACGAAGAAAACGAGGTAATAAACCACGTCACATAGTGATATTAAAGCGATTGCTTGACCCTGCACGGATCTTGCTTGCTCGTGTTAGCGATTTGGACTTGGTCCCAATGCAGCAGTGCCATATAGGTTAAAGTGTAATGGCCCGTTTACACACTCGAAACCTAACCGCTAGACCGGCTGAGACAAAAAAACGCTTCCTAAGCCTCTTTCGACGGCGTACAACATAAGTGGCGCAGCTCTTGGTTTCACGCAGCCTCGTGCAAATTACTCGAAAAAAGTGATAAACTTGAATTAAAATTACTTTCGTTTAGCAATAATTTGATTCGATTATTTGATTATTCTAGACGAAAACCAATTGGCCGTAGTTTTCAGACAAATTAAAAAAAAAGGCTTTCGTACTTTCCGTAATTGGATCAAAAATCGCCGATATATGATCTTTATAATCCACCGATTTTGGTAAACGGTCCTCCTGTTGGAGACTTCGTTCCAAGATTCGTTATAGAGTTCATTGCGATTCAAGGAGGTAGGGCGAGGGAAAGGACGGCGGGGAGGAGGAAGCAGAGGGAACGCCAAAGAGAGGAGAAGGTTTCACCCTCTCAAGCGTTCCGTCTGCTTTCTCCTTCCCGGCTTTCCTTTCCCTCGCCCTGCCTTATTCACTTGCAACAGGCTATAGTAGGAGACTTGAGTGGACAAAGGGCGTCCTTAGAGGGGGGAGGACAAAGTAGCAACAGTTCCAAAGTGTAGTTCTTCGAAAATGTTATAAGATTACTGAAGACAACGCACCTAAGTAGACGAGCTGGTTATTATAAGGCAGTCTACAACCCCAGACGGAGGTGTACAAGGAGGGACAAACACAAACGTCTCAAACTCAGCAACTACATTTTTAATAGATTTTTAATCACCAAAACTTTCTTTTATACAGCCATTCAATCCTCGCATTATCCCCGAAATTGCCCACGCCTCGTCTCGTTATCTAGAAGTCAATCTGTTGTACCCATCTTCGGGGCGGTTCTCCCTTCGACCGGACCCTTACAGGCCCCGTTAGAGTTCCGAAGGTCAGGGGACACACTGTCATGCAACAGAACGACACAATATGCCTCGCTATCTAAAGTTCACACTGTTGGACCCAACTTCGGGTGGTCATCTCTTCTCCAATTCGTCCCTTACCGACATTCCGATAGTCACCAAGGTCAGTCGGGCAACTCGCTGGCAAACAGTAAACTCGCCCTTCCAGAAAACAGTTCGATAACGTACACTGTTTTCATAAACGCGAAAACCTCTTTGTCACCACATGGAGTGTCCTTGAGGGTAGACTAATACAATACCTCAGGGAATCAATCCGAATGGTTTCTTTTAATACACATTTTATACAATTCCTATCCTCGAACAAAGCAGCCGGCTACTCCCATTTTGCTATACAGTTTTTACATTCCTGAACGTGCTTCGCGATCTCGAAGTTAGCAGAGTTATTTTTGTAGCTCTTTTATGTTCATTTAACCGATCATTGAAACACCATTTGGTCTGTCCGACAAAAAAAAACTCACACGATATCGGTATATCATACACACCGCTTTTGCGACAATCAACAGAGGCATCTTTGTGTTTCTTCTGGTACCCGATGTTGTCCTCCCATGAAAAGCGATAGTCTGCTCAGCTTGAAGTCTGTCATAATTATAACATTCGCCTTGAACCTTCTTGTAATAGGCAATAAATTGTGAGAAAACCAATGAAATAATCGAACGAACAAAACCTGCTCAACCTTTTCGATTTGCCCCTTGTTCATCACTCTGATCTTCCTCATAAATCTAATCGCCACGCCTTTTATCATATTGTTGTTGTAACCTGTATCTTGCGAGCGGAGCAACTAATTCCTTACAGAAATTGTTTATTTTTGTGTTAACAGATCTTTCTGAGGGCAGCGTCCCAAAGTGTCATCTTTATGCCTCTCTTAACTAACTTGGAATGACAACTCTTAAAAGGCAACAAAGGTTTTCGGGCCACTTTGCCATACTTTCAACAGAGCCCACCGCGTACAAACAATCTCAAATCCAAGTATTGAATCACAGAACCCACAGGTTCTTCAGCACAAAACACCAACTCAGACGCTGCGCTCGTGGTCACATGCATGGGGAGGCGTGTGGCAACTTGGGGAGGTTACGAGGATGGGATGGCTCTGTAAAAGGACGTTGTGGTGATTAAAATGCAGTTGCTGAATTTGAGACATTTGCGGTTGTGTCTCCTTATAACCCTCCGTCTCGGGTTCTCGAATACCTTATTATAAGATTACACCTGGGATTACTTACTAATAAATGTATTCAAATGATTACAAAACCCCTCCAAACTGTAATCGATTACAAGTAATTTGATTTTATGAATGGGCATTTAAGCAATTGCCATATGAGTATTTTTATTGATTATACTGTTTTCTGACTTGCGGCAAAAACAAACACCACCAATGAAGCCTTGACAGCACGGTCTTTGATAAGTATCTCACTCGATGTCCCTAGTGAAGGTGATATACTTTGCTGCTCAGGTAGCATGAATGGTGACGCAGACATCCTCAGTGGTTCCAGTTTAGAAAGCCATTGAATGTATATCGAGCTATTCACGTAAGCCACGGTCAGATGTACTTTTCCGCAATAGCCATTATCAGAACTGGCGTTGACTTCCAACTGGCTCTAGCATCGTCATGGAAAATTCATTGCTGGACTACGCTGCCAGCGTCGTCTGGCCAGCAAAGCAAGTGTCAAGCAATCAAAGGAGCTTAAGGCTATGTTTTATGCTCTCCAGTTCCTGTTCAGTCCTGAAACCTTGTATGCAGTTGTAAATACACTGATGAGGTGATGATTTTTCTATACGACGGTATTTTGCATACTGAAAAACCATAAACAAAAAAAAAAAGAAAATACGAGCGGCTCAGTTTAGTGACAGAAATAAGCGGCTAAGCTTTAACCGATAAGCTACGCGGCTGCAACGAGAACACCACACATACAACCCTGGTAGACTGAATTATTTTTCTTTCTGCATATTCAAGCAGTGAGAGATGATTCAACTGAATATTAGATGTTGTACCAGGTCGGTATAACTGCTAACCTGGGGTGTTTAACCCAGAGTTAGCAGTCATACCGTTTTGGGGTAAGAATAACAAGCACAGCTTGACTGTAATGTAACTGATATCGTAAATGGTTTAAATTGCTATCCACAGCACCGCTTATTTACCTTAAAGACCCATCGACAACGCCGCCAACGGCGCGCTATGCGCACATTTATCGCACAGTGCGCTATGCAAGGATCCCAGATTTCTGCACGAACATGGATGAATTCGAGTGGCACGACGCGATTCCGAAGCAAAGCTTGGGAGTTTCGGAAGTCTGGAAACTCATTTAGTGACTCTACTTCGTATCCCAGCCAGAGACAGTGCTTTGCCGTGACATCATAAACAGGAGTTGTTGTGAACGCTTTGTTTGCTTCCATGCTAATACGTTCCTTGAACAAACCTCACCGAAGGAAGTCATCATGTTTGCTTATCACATCCCAGGTGGACACTCCTTGGTGACGCTCGTTTTGCAAATTAGGAGCATCGGGATTATGGGTGTCCTGGTCGCAGAACTGGGACACCTAGCAAGGAAGAAGAAAAAAGCTACGAAACAAATCAAAGCGAATGCTTTTGCGAGGACATGAAAAAAATGTTTTACACTTGTTGAGTATTTCACGTAAATTGTGCTAAGACAGCATGACAAGTTTTCATTCATGTTTGCAATTAAAAATTGAAATTAGGTGGGAAAACAATACTCATTTGACCCTCTTCTCTTGAAAAAAATACAAGCGTTCAGTTTTAACTCCCCTTTCCCCCTTAAATATAAAAGTAACAGCAGGTACCGGGGTAGATGTGATGAACTGAGCACCAATTAGACACAAAACTGAAGGTACTGTGAAATTCCGTTGGCCTAAAAGACAGCGTTTTTGAAGCAAAGCTTACCCCGTTTAGGTACGGTAAGAACATGATAGACGCTGGAGCTGGCTCTTTTTCCTGGTGAAAGGCGACATCACAGAGGTCAGACATGTCTGTGCAGGCATCATTTTTTGGACAAACCGACCCATGGGCGTTGCTTAGTTTGAATCCAATCTCATCAGTGCATCTTGTGGCCTCCATCTGAGGAAATAAGAAATAACAGAAACATAACACGCTATCTTATTCAAAGGTCGCTAGCAATTTTACAAATATTTATATCACAGAAAATGAAAGACGTTTACAATTCTCTGTAATGCCGAATTAGAGCGCAGCTTTTGAGGAGGAGGAAGGAAGGGTACGGAGGGAAGGGTATGCCCCCTCCGTACCCTAACCTCCTCATCTTGTTCCCCTCCCTTTTAGCGGTAAATTTTTCGCAAATTTCCCACTAAAATTTAGCGGAAAAATGCTTCCGTTAAATTTAGCGCGTTGTTTCCCCGCTAAATTTGGCGGAACATTTTTCCGCTAAATTTAGCGACAAAAACGTTCCCGCTAAATTTAGCGTAGAAATTCCTTGTTAAATTTAGCCGAAAAATGTTTAACTAATTTTAGCGGGAGCTTTAGTGAAAATTACCGGCTAAATAGTAGGGGAGTAGAAGGAGAGGGAACGGAGAGAGAGGACGTGACGTCACGTGTGATGCCACGAGGGCAAAATTTTCTCGTTAAATTTGGAGGTGAAATTTTTTTCTTGAATGGCGGGAAATTTTTTCGCTAAGTTTGACGCGGATTCTTGTGCTACAAATTTAGCGGAATAGTTTCCCGCTAAATTTAGCGGTAGCATTTCCCCACTATATTAAGCCGGAAAATTTTTCCGGTAAATGTAGCAAGAAATATTTCTGCCAAACTGACGTGTGACGTCACGTGATAAAAAAATTCACGTGTGATGTCACGTGACGTAACACGTGACGTCGCGTGTTACGTTAATGCGGGAAACGTCCCGCTAAATTTAGAGGAAAAGGTTTCCCGACAATTTTAGCCGGAAAAGTTTACCCTCGTGACGTTACAAGTGACGTCACGTGTGACGTAATTATGGTAAGCGTCCCATAATGCAACGCGCGGTCAACCACCGGACAAAAAGCGAGTTGCGCGGCCGGAACACGGATGGCGCCACCGTCAAGGTGTACAGCAGCGCTCGCGTGGTAGGAGGCGCTCACTACTAAAAACTAAACAAAACAATCATGAACCAAACTTCATTTAGCTCTAGTTTTAACTGCATATTATTTCTTTAAATACAAATTCCGTATTCTTAAAAATATAGCATATTTTTTTTAAAGTTCGTGTCAACATCACGCTGTCTAAATTGTGCCCTTTCTCGGTTTTTAGCGCTTCTTAAACGAAACCGCTGCCTGTGCCATGCGCGCTTGCACTCTGCGCGCTCCGAAACTGGTGGACCGTTGTGGAGGTGCCCGTGAGTCTGCTCGGTCGGTGCCAGTGTGTAAGATAGACATGTGGGGAAACGAGAGCCAAATGAGTGACCGGATTGTGTACCCTTCGGTTTTCTCTTTTTTTGTGGCGCCATCTATGTGGAGCACCGTGAACTCTCACTCCGGGTGCGCGACCGGTGGCGAACGGCTAAACTGACGGAGATGGTTTCTCGTGGATTTTCAATGGAGGACTGTCGTGCTCTTGGTCTACTTTGCGCACTCTCCCATAGAGTTTCACGCAAATCCGATTCTGACTTTATTTCCTCTCGCCGCAGCGCCATCTGTTGGAAATCGGGAGTACTCGCAAGCAGACGAGTACACAATCCGGTCACGGCGCTGCGGTAGGCTTCTATGGGCCGTTTCGGCGTTTCCCACCTGTCTATCTTACACCCTGGTCGGTGCTTTCGCTCGCCTTCGGAGCATCAAGCGTCGGCGCCTCGATCATCGCACAGCGCGAGACTCGCATTTTCGGGCGATTGCAAGGCTTTTCGCGTCTTTGAACTACCTCATTCCTGCTGTTACGGAAAGTGGTGCCCAAGCAGCGTCGGGGACAAGAAGCACCTGTTCGTTCGGATCCTAACTGACGATGGTGAGTTTGATAGTTTTCACCCCAATTTAAACTTTTCCTAAGCTGATCTTCCAGACACAAATTGCTCCATTTGAGGGTTTTGCACTCTTTTAGGTGATTGAATATATCGTTTTATTTTTGAAATTCACAAAATGCCACCGTGATTTTATTACAATGCACACATTTCGGCGAGCGCTTTTGGCCCGTAGTTTTGTGGATGAAGACCGTCCTGCAAATATTTCATGATCTGTACACTGTTGGCGAAATCTCACCTCCTCTGCATCTCGTCGATTTTGTGCAGAGCAGTGTAGATCCCCGTTGAGTAAATTGTAGTCTATATATGAATATACTTCTGCCAGTTTTATATTTCACAGAGTTCGTATCTTACAACATGTGCCTTTTTTTATTAATGTATCTCATGTAGATACTTTCAGAGCCCTACGACTAGTTAGCCATGTTTTATTTCCTTCAGTAATAAATACAGGGTGTCACAAAAGAAAATTTACACGGTCTTTTTTACCGCAAAAATAAACTAGGCATCGCCGAACGCTCATTCTCCGCCCAAAGGTACAGCTAGAGGTCACAACCAGATGCCAAAGTTTCAGCCCCATCCGATAACTTAATCAAAAGTTATTAGTGATTTTCTGAAAATCTCAATGGGAAAATGGAGCCCATTTTCGCCCGTTTTCGGTTTCTGGTGCCATAGAGCCCCATGTGTTTGAAAACTCCGTCGGCCGCCATTTTCCCATTGAAATTTTCAGAAAATCACTTATAACTTTTGATTAAGTTATCGGATCGGGCTGAAACTTTGGCATCTGGTTGTGACCTATAGCACTACCTTTGGGCGGAGAATGAGCGTTCGGCGATGCCTAGTTTATTTTTGCGGTAAAAAAGACCGTGTAAATTTTCTTTTGTGACACCCTGTAGAAAGCTGGATAGTAAAATAATTTAAGTTTGAAAGACACTTTTAAAATCTCGTAAAATTTACGCACAGAAGGGCAGAATGCCAATAGCAGAGCTTGATCGCGAGATGTGCTATTCGCCCTTCTATGCATAATTATTTCGCAAGATTTCACACCTACCAACGCACTCCCCTCAAAACAAATGAAACTCACGTTAGGCATTTTTTTCTCTCTTTTGTTTCACATAAAATAGCAACATTTGTATTATGTGTTCTTTTTTGTGTATCCATACAGATTCTCAAGGCATGAAAATCAATCCAACATGGCTCAGGGACAGGGAACCCCAATAAAGAAAGGTAATGTCTGCGCTCACTTTTTTGTAAAGTACACTTGATTGCTGGCCAACCTATCAAGCTGAATATATAACCATCAGCATGCTAATTTCCGCCATAGTGATCTATGCAGTTTAATCTACGGTCAACTGTAATGTAAAACGGGAAAGGCTGGGGCAAAGAGGATGATAGCAAAAACAATAGGATAGTAGGAGCAGCCCTATGGAATGTTTCGTAGACCTGTTTCTATTCTGCAAGTGTGTGTGTTGCGACGACACAAACTAATGTGTTCTTACATTCTTCTGTGCAGTTCCTGAGGAGATAGAGAACACCCATAGAGCAAAATGAGAAAGCACAATGAAGTGGCTGGTGCATTCCATGGGCAGCATAGGATCTCGGGGGCCACACCAAGAAAACCTGGTTCAACTCATGTTTCAACTCGACGGTGCAAGCGACAGGTACCGGAAGCTCCTCAAGAGGCCAAGAGAAATGAGAAATACCGAAGTCGTCTATAGACAGCAAGGTGTACACAATATTAAGGAATATGTCTTGTTGGAGGAATAAGGAATATTAAGGAATACGTTGGTTCAGATCTGTAAGTAAGCAACGAACAAATTTGCCCCCAAATAACAATGCATTGTGTTTATTTGCATGGACCAGTCAGAATGACACGAGCTTTCAACTGGGCATGAAATCTTTCGGCTGTGCTTCTTGAGATCCTCGAGAGACAATATTGTCTCAGGTTGCTCTTTGCATGATTTTTATAAAGCAACATCATAGACTAAAGGCTCTGTTAAGGCTCTGTTATACTCCAACGTAACGCGTACGCGCGTACGAACGCATCACAGCGACGTCACGTCGGCGAAAACCCGAAGTTCTATACTCCGCGTAACCGACGCGACCAGCGACGTTCGACGCAGCCTGACCGCCTCGACGCCAAAATGGAGCATGCCGTATTCCGCGCCGGCCGCGCCAGCGACGCCGGACCAGGATACATCACGCGCTGGCTCCCGGGAGCCCTCGCGTGGGAAGCGCGGCGAATACGAGCAATAGCAGACGATAGGAGCACCACTCCGTGTGGCGTCAGGTTTGAAGAATTGGACTCGGTCGGTCGAGAAGCTGATCGAAGGAATTCGTCCTCACCCGTGTGTCTACGACACGAGGAACCTTGAGTACCGTAGACCGGGAGCTTGTCAAAGATACACCGTATGTACATTGACTGCCTACGCTTGCGGCGCAGGCGGTGCACCAACAATGCAAGCGCGAGTTTTCGTCGTGCAAGGTACGTCCACGCCATCGCTCGAACTTGGCGCTCAAGAAGCGCGGGAATTTTCGTCTGCTATTCGAAACGAAAAGAAACCGGAAGTGGCGCACTCTCGCAGGAAACGTGCCCTCGTAGTCAGATTCTGCGCATGCGCCGCGCCGGCGGCCCACCGACGCAAGCCGCGGAAGCCGCCAGGGGCGCCGGAGTATAGACGATTGCAAGCTGGGCGACTGGCCGCCGCCATGTCTCTGCTCGAGCAGGCACGCCCGTGCGATTACGAGCTTGCCAAAGCTACGTTCACCCGCGCGTTGCACGCGCTTGCACGCATGGGGCACCACTTGTGGCGCCATGCTTGCAATTGTCTATAAAGAGGGCGAATTTTCGACGCACGCGGCGTGACTGACGTGACGTAGCCGACTTCGGCCAGCGTTCGCTTGCGCGCGCGTTACGTCGGAGTATAACAGAGTCTTTACAGAAAGAAGCCTTTGAGCATCCACTTTGAGCATCCACTTTGTTCATACTAGTTGTTAGCCTGCTGGTGGCCAACAACCTTTGGGCAGTTCTTTTCTTTAGGGGGAGAGGGGGGAGGGATCTGATGCTTCGAACCAGTGATACCAGGACCTTTGGCAGCTAGAAATCAAACTCCCACTTGGAGAGTTTCACTCTTTGAGATCTCAAGTTTTGATGGACAATATCTTACCCACTAAAGTTTGCGTTATTGTCTTACTACACAGGCTGAACAATTGATATTTTATCGTAATACACGTTCGGTCGGTATTTGAGATTCCACAACCATTAGGGCTGCATATTTACTTCACACTGGGTTTGCTTCTATATAACACATATCAGAAATAATAATTATTCTGTTTTCATGCCACAGAAACAAACATTCGTGTTTGCCATTACAGTATCTTCTCTTTAAAATGAACATCTCCAGTCCCCTAAACAATTCTTTGTAATGTTAGTTATCCATAATCATGGATCAATGCCACGATCACAAATAATAAATAATGAAGGTGGTATGTTGTTCATTTTTGTCATTTGCAACTGGGATAGGGAAAGAACTGCAGGTGATTCGGGCTAGAAACACCTGAAAATTTTAATAATTGACAGTCACCAATGTCTTAACTGACAATGGCGAAGCTCTGGGTAAATTCTGTAACCGAGGGGCTTTACTATTCTTTTTTGTCCCACTAACATTCTTTCGTTTTTTTTGTTTTTTTTTTTGTTTTTTTTTTGTTTTTACGGAGACGACAATAAAAATATAAAAAAAATACATGTATTTACCCATTTCGTTCCCAACCTAGCTGACCATAATTCGTATTCCAGGTTTCTTTATTTAACATGAGGAGTTAGAGTTGTAAGGGGACACATATCAGTCCCCGAAAATATGGCTTATATACCACGTGACCGAAACGATCGACGATGTTAGCGACACACGACTTTATTGTGTTTTTCAATCGCGAAGACAGATATTCTCGCGTCATAGTTGCATCTGAGTTTACGAAACATAAAAGAGTCACTTGGCGAACTCAGTAATATTTGCTGCCCGCTGATAGCCTTTAAAAGTGAAAAAGCAGTATGTCGTGTTCGCGCTAACAGTGTCGCACAGTGTATCTCCACTGCAGCACCTCTTGGTAACATAGATACAACGCGCATTCTTAATTTATTTTCCGCGTAGCAACGTTTCTTTGAAGTGACAGTATAAATTGTTTTTCCTTGTCCTGCAAATGACTGAATAAATGCGTCAACCAGTGCGAAAAATGCTGCATCTCTTTCGATTCCCTGGAAGACGGCGACGACAAGTAACGGACTGTCAACTGCTGGACACAAGGAAGGCAAGCAGAATATACAATTCTTTGCCGTGACAAGTAGCAAGGCACGCGCGAACGGTAAATTTCAAAACAAAACCTACCGCGGTACCGGCGGTACCGAGGCAGGGAGCAGCGGCAGAGCACGGCAGAAGTGCCGCGCCATGTTGGATTTTGAGCGGGTTCGTCTTCGCGAGTGGCTAGGAAGCCGCTCAAGCTAGCTCGACGGCGTCAAAAGTCATAATTAAAACGTTAGCCCTCCATTTTATGGATATGCCTTTTGTATATTATTTTAGTTCGCAATCTATCGATGGAGCAATGAGTCGCTGATTCGATGCAGTAACGAACGCCTCCGACCACGGAAGCGCTGCTGAGCGCCCACTTTACCCAGAAATTGACTTCTTTAGGCCTATGGCAGTAACCGGGCACTGGCACGGTTACGCCGATGGTGACGCCGTTCAAGCCGGAAACGGGCGCCTAAAGCGCGATCCAAACCAACGTGTTCGTGTGCGTGCGAATGCGCTGCCCGGATATTGCGCATTTCGTCGCGTTTTTGCTGCTTCCGGCGCGCTTTCTGAGTCACAACCCAGCGGCTTGGTTAGGACGCTGTGGCTTGGGGCCAGCGGAGAGCATCTGCGCCAGACAGCGAAGAAACGCGGAGCCGGAACTATAAACTGATTGGCCGGGAGGGGAGCGCCGTACTACCTCACAGTGCGTTTTCTTGCGCCTTCAGAAAAAGTTGAAATCATCCAGCTTTCTTATGCGCGCCAGGAAGACGCACGGAATCAGCGCGACGTCACGCAATACGCATTTTGTGGGAGCCGCACCGTCTACGCGCGCACAAATCAGCCTTGGATCGCGCTTAAGAGCTGCGCTCTAAACGAAGGCAGGCAGACTTTGAGAATACAAGGAGACAAGCGACCTCTGTTGCAGGAAACGGGACGTATTACATTCGCAGAATATTTTCTGAACTAACCTTTGATTTCGAAACCTGACAACGTTGGGCATTGAAACCAATTGCCTTGTATTTGTCGCAAGCACTATATTTGGATAGTATTTGAGTATTAGGTGACGAGCAGTTCATTTTTGCTGTCGCATAAAAAATGAAAGCCGTTTACAACTCCCTGTAGCGCCGAATTTGAGCGCAGCTCTTGAGGAGGAGGAGGGAAGGATACTGGGGGGATCAGTTGACCTCGGAAAGGGGGGGGGTCACGTGACCTGGAAGATCACGTGACCTCGGGGGAGGGGTCACGTGACCTGGGGGTCACGTGACGATGACGTCATCAGTGATGATGACGATGACGATGCGGATGCCGATTACGCCATTGGCATCCGCATCGTCGTCGTCATTATGACTGATGACGTCATCGGCATCGTCATCGTCATCATCACTGATGACCTCATCGTAACGTGACCCCCCAGGTCACAAGACCCCCCCCCCCCTAGGTCCTCCCGAAGGAACCCGAGGTCCTCCCGAGGTCCTCTCGAAGGAGCCCGAGGTCCTCCCGAGGTCCTCCCCGAAGGAACCCGAGGTCCTTCCGAGGTCCTCCCGAAGGAACCCGAGGTCCTTCCGAGGTCCTCCCTAAGAAACCCGAGGTGCTTCCGAGGTCCTCCTGAAGGAACCCAAGGTCCTGGGGGAGTCGCGTGACGATGACGTCATCAGTGATGATGACGATGACGATGCGGATGCCGATGAAGTCATTGGCATACGCATCGCCATCGTAATCGTCACTGATGACGTCATCGTCACGTGACGCTCCCCCCCCCCCCAGGTCCTCCCGAAGGAACCCGAGGTCCTCCCGAGGTCCTCCCGAAGGAGCCCGAGGTCCTCCCGAGGTCCTCCCGAAGGAACACGAGATCCTCCCGAAGGACCTCGGGTTCCTTCGGGAGGACCTCGTGAGGACCTCGGGTTCCTTCGGGAAAATTTACCCATAATGCACCGCGCGGTCACGCCCACGGTGACGCCGACGCCGCTCAAACCGGAAACGGGCGCCCAAGAGCTGCGCTCTAAAACGATTCTTTTTTTCTTAGCAGTCCGGGGCGTATATTTTTGCGGAGCAGGCGGTATACAGCCCAGCACCACCGCTCACACCGGATAGGCTGCTCGTGGAAATCAACGCTGCAGCCGTCACACATAGCAACGCGCAGGAACTTCGATTTGGGATTCCTACGGCGCGTGTATCGCTGGAGAGCGTGTTAAGTTAGCCCCCCGCCTGCGTTCACGCCGCTTCGCGTAGACGGTGTGCGGCTGCCAATTACAGAACTATTTTTTATTTTATTTCACACTATTTTTTTCAATCAGCCGATAAGAGCTCGGCGCTCTGACATCATCGCGGCTCCTGTACAAGAAGCAAACGAAATTGCACTCTAATATATTCCCCATATTAAGAATGGAAGTTGTGTAGAAAACAACGAATATTTATTATATAATCATCCTGGAAAGCGAGGGAAACTTCGGGAGAAAGAAGGAAATTTCAGGCGTCCGCTAGGGAAATTCTGGCTTTCCGTGTTGGCAGCGCTGCTCAGCAGCCACCTTCTGTAGAGCTATCTCCATTTCAAACAACCCCTTCCATTGCGAAATATTGTGAGGAGTGACATATTCCTAGAGCGCTTCGTGCATCTCACTCTTCCGCGATCCACCCACGTGCGCAATATAGATACAAGAATGGCACATGTTTCTCACTCTGCCTTACATGCGTAAGGTTTTCAGCGTGACGATCGCAATTTTAAACTGAAGGAGGCTTACGGATAGAAATGTTCGTAAACCCAACCAACTTTTTTTTGAAAACCGCGTTTCTCCCTCCGCTAAGTCCTCCGCAATGAAGAAGCCGCTACTGCGCCTGCGCTCCAATGGCTTTAACTGTAGAGTTCGGGGTATCGTGCCGGGTTGCGGACAATGTAGCGAGACTTCCAAAACGATCTGCGAAAATTCCCTAATAGCTACTTTTCGGAGACCGCCTCGCCATAGAGAGAATCCGCTATCTCACTGAGTAAATAAATTTGCGTGCTGGAAGGCTGGTTCATCCGGACTTCGGGCGTCAGCTTCCGTATCATGGTTTCCGCATGGGAGGCAGGGGGGAAATTCCGGAATGCTGCGTACACTCACTTTGTTGTTACTGCAGTAGAGCGCCTTGTCGGGAGAGGAAGCGTGCTCCGCGAAAACGCCGTAGCGGTGGTTGGCCCAGTGATGTATTAGATGGTACTCTGAATGGAGACGAAGACGAGCAAATGCCATCAAAACATTTACTGCTTAAATATCATCCACGCAAAGAGCCTAAACAGTGAGCGGTATATTATACGGTGGCCGTCTATGAACCATTTCCCGCTCTAAAGAACACTTTCGAGCACCCCCGACAAACTGTAAGGTTTTAACAACTCGATTTGTGCTCGAAAACGGGCTGAACAGAGATGGCCACTGGTGTTGTTTTCATTACACCTTTGTCACGCGATTTTTTGTTACACGCTTGATAGGAGCTGCTGGACTTTTGTCTCTGACGCGCTGCAGATTCTAGGAAAACTCATCTAGCACGCTGCGATCTCTCCGGACCTCCCAGCCAACCCCTGATTTACATAGAGCGTTTTTGCGGCTCTTGCGTACTGGTGCGTTGTGCGCGAGCAACCTGAGCGTGAACGTATTTGAAAACGCCCCTCCGCGAGGTCAGGGCATCGCCGCTTCTATCGTGTAAAGTAACTGGATCCGAGGAAAGTAGCGCCGAACTCCCCGCATGGTCGCCATTTTGGTCCTTGGAATCAGCAGTTTCTCCTCGATCTCTCCATTCTTAGTGAGCCGATTCGATTCGCGGTGACAGGTTGCTTTGTAAAGGCATTTTCCGCATGCCCAGATTGTTTATCCACACCGGCCAAGCAAGCCCGCATCTTCGCTTCAATGCGGCATCACCGCTTCGTGGCATGGAAACATACTTTGCTTTTCTTGAAAGGTGCAAAAAGAATATTATTGTAAAAAATCTGTGGAAATCAGCATACTTTCTTCGTTGATTGCATAAACAGTGCCAATGACGTTTATATTGGCAAAGATCACTTTTAGTGCAATGATGCTTCATATCGGACTTGAACAGGACGTTTTTGATGTTTCGATGTGGGGAAAAGTAAACGAAATGGTGATTACCTTGGCAACAAATACCCATCAGCCAATAATCTTGCGAAATTTCGGTCGCCACTATGAAAAGGCTGAACTCCATGGAACGAATAATGTGACGAATAACTGGCGAACGCAGCCCGACATCACGCTTGCTTTGCGTGCGACGTAGCAGCCACTGTGTTGATTCCTAGCGCAGAGCGAACGCCGCCGGACAAAATCCGTCGGTTATTCGCAGAACATTCACCCCATGGAGTTCAGCCTTTAGGGACAGTTTGTGTCCTGCAGCAGGCAAGGAAGGCAATAGCGCTACTCTCTCGGGATTCAATGACTGTCTACGGCGAGCCTCCTCGACCGGGACCATATAGTTATACCCACGGATCAGAAAAGCAAAGGGCGCTTTGCTCTAGCTTTTTACGGTATTCCGTAGGGCTGGGCGTCGATTAAAAATTTTAACCCGATTAATCGCCACCCTTTAATCGATTAATTAATCGATTAATCGGTTGCGTTAATTTTTATAAATAATATATTCAAAAGAAAGCAACAACTTGTCTTGCCTTTAAAGACTTATTTTACTCTGTGTTCCACGGTGCAAAGGACATTTAGAACTGAGAATACATATAGTTCAACGATTCAAAGACTCGCATATTTTTGCTCCAGCTTCCATGACAAAGTTTGTCCCCATTCTCCGACAGGAAGACAAGAAGTCAGAAATTGGGCGATGCTTTCTTCTTTTTTCGAGAGGAAGGAACCTCGATGAGAAGGCGCTGATTGTTGTCTTTTCGTTCTGGCGGATGGTCCTTGCTGCAGTTACATGGGTGCTTCGCTGGTAGGCGATACTGAAGAGAACTTACGCTTCCATTGTACGAAAACGGCTTTTTGCAGATGATGCAGTGGACGTCCTCCAAGTTAAAAACTTCACCGCTGGAGTTTACTTTAAACCCAACTGGGGACGGACTTCTTTTGAGTACCGATTAAAAAACCGATTAACCGGCTAAAAAATTTGATCGCGATTAAAGCCTTAATCGATTAATCGGAAAATTAATCGATCAATTTCGCAGCCCTAGTATTCGGTCTTGCTTGGTACGTAACTGTGAAACACGACGACTCTATTTTCGTAGTGACATAATGGCGCTGCAGCCGCAGTGACAGACATCGTTTTCTCTCTTGGAGAGCGGCACCGGAGTGAGCTCGGTGTGTGGCACTGTTGATTCGCGAAGTGGTTCGGTCCGTCCTCGCTGTCGTCATCTCCTCACGGCTTCATGTGAGTGCGCTTGGGAGATGGACGATTCATGGATATGCAGTGACGTGATCAATCCGGCCGCCGGTAAGCCCATCTTGTGAACCTTTTTTAACAAAACGTGTTCCTGCCTTTGATGGAAATCCAATTAACTGAAAGAACACTATTATTGTAGCTTCACAAACTAAATGATCACTTCAAGAATAGTCTTATTTTGCTATACATTTATTGTCAGAAGTTAACATTTAATAATGGACTTAGTATCTGAGGACCAGGGTCCAAGCAAGCGCAGTCTGGGAGCTATACTCTGCATATAAACAATATACGTGTAATAGATACGTATAGTAAAAACAACATATACCGTATTTACTCGAGTAATAGCCGCACTGTTTATGAAGAAAATCTGAGCGTTCGCTTTTCTGCAGAGCACGCAGATTGCCAATCACCACGATCGACAGCATGATTCCAGCTGTTTGCAGGAAAGAGATTACGTCTTCGGGCGAAGATGCCATCTGTGAAGGTTGCATTTGTATGGACCATCGTGTTCTCGATCTGGTTATTCGCTATGTTATTTAGGCGCAACGCAATGATTGGCTGTATATTTGTTCTGTGGGAAAGCGGACACACGGGACTTGTTCATAAATAGTGTGGCTATTACTCGAGTAAATACGGTACTCCCTTCGCGAGAGATTAATAACATTACAAAGTTAGGATATTTTACTGCATTCGTTTTTACCTAAGGTACTCAGTGACACCCAGCGTTTTTAGCGCGGCTCAGTCGCTCACCTGGTTTCCCGAACTTCTTGGTTGTTGTTGAGTTCAAGTCGCGGACAAACTCGGACGGAAACCGGACCGGATTAAAGTCGCCCGGAAAGGAACGACTCGGATTCAGAGTGTCCGGTTCTTTCAAGCCAGAGACCACCTGGACGTCGGCTTGGTTAAACAGGTCCTCCCAGACCTTCTTGCGGCCCATTGGTGGCCAGCTGCTGGGCACACTGATTATGACTTCCTTGAAGTAGAATTTTCCCTTTGTGGCCGCCAGGAGGAAAGCAGATGCCTTTCTGAATAAAGCCTGCGTGCAGGGAAATAGGGTCAGCAGACAGCCGTTTATTGCCATCGATAGATGGCGCAGCGTAAGTTCTCTTATGTAGTGCCTTAATGCCAGCGCCGCCTCCAAAGTGGAGACATCCTCTATATTAGGTCAATATTTTGGTTGCTTTCGTAAGCGCTTCCTTGCGTCAATGTTCATGAAATCACACAAGAACAGCTTTTCGACAGACGAACTAATTCTGCACGCAATAAAGCAGCAGGACCAAATGTGGCCCCTTTGCGTCAGATAGACCCGCTCGCACTAGTCAATCCGTGGTCACATTCTGGAAGTGGTACTGGCTTATTCGATGCACCCTGAAACCCTGCAACTAAGTAGCGCAAGCCGCCGCCAGAGGAAAAGTGTTCAGCCTTAGGCATCCATCTATTCATTCTCGTGGTTCTGGATGGAGACTTTAACCTCACCATTTACATGTTCTGACAGACAGTAGATAGGGAATTTTTCGAATCATTTAGAAGCAGGTATTAAGGAGTTTGACGCGTAACAAAATTAAATTTGGGGCAATGACGGCCAATTAAGAAGAACCTACGCGATTATGCAATCCTCTAAGTCTGCTTTATCCTGGACTTTAAACAAAAATAAATTGAAGATAAAGACATTCATCATCCGCTAGATTTAGCTCAATTTACGTAGATTGCGAAGATCCTCTTTGCATGCTACTCACTGGAACGTACGAGAAAAATTACGCTAGAGGTTGAATTTGTTTATAACAAAATATAAAAAGCACAATTTTCTTGATCACAAGTTAGAAATAAAAGCCACACATTTTCTGTTGCTTACTACTGAGTTAAGTATTCTTATATTAAAAGTGAAAAGGCGTTCTCGTTGGACATTTTAAATTTTTTTTAAGAAACCAGGGAACAATTGTGCAAAGTCGAAACTATTCTCTTCGATACTTCTCTCTTTTAAAACATCGAACGTCCCTAACGCCTGGTTCACATGGTGCGGTTTAACTTGCAATTTCTGGCGACGTCACTCGCCGGGGAAGTAAAGCCTGATGTGAATTGCGGTTTTCGGCGTTGTGAATACGAAATATGAAGTAAAGTTCGTACCGTGTGGATCAGGATAAAGGTCCACCGTCAGGTTCTTTTGCATTGCCACTAATATCTCAAGTTTGCTTTGTCCTTAGGAAAATTGGCGTTTTAAGTTCATGAAACCACGTTTGTTCTTTAATATATTTAAGGGGCGAAAACACCAACTAGGTACAGCTAAACTGCAGCTTCAGAAAATACGAAAGTGAGCTTTGAGATATATATAAATTAGGTTGGATCAATTGAACTCTGGCTGTGAACTACCAATTTGACGTGAAATTAGCCTTTCAAGTGCCTAAATAGGCTGTTCGTTCCTGGATAAGTAGTCAAACGGAAGGATGGAAAAAGATATACGAGAAGATAAATGTGTGTACATCTGTAACATAAAAGTTTGCAGACCTATGTGGTCAAGATTGTTCGGTTTGGCTCCCGAAGTTCCCATCTGCAGTAGCTATACTTCGTTTCAGCTGAAGTACAGACGCAGCCGATGCTACGAGCGCGAGCTCCGGGCTTTCAGCATCCCTGCCAAGCACGCACACTCGTGTTGTGAAAGCACTGTCCAGGGCGACATGCTCGCGCTCGTAGGTTCAACTGCGTCTAGACTTAAGCTGAAACAAAGTATAGACTGTCAACATCTGCGACAGACTCCACCTCTACATAAAGACGAGTGAATCTAAGTAATGTAACGAGGAAATCTAAGTAAGGCATTTATTAGAAAAAGTTATATTTACGTTAACGTTTATACAGGGCGTTCAATATTAGGTTTTACGTATTTAAGAGAGGGAACCACGGGAAGGATTCTTTGCTACGTCGTGAAGACTATTGTATCTTTCACAGTGCTCTGTTAAAGCTACACTGTTAGCGAGTACCGTGTATTTAGCGAATATTTGGGGTGAAAAACACGCTATTTACACAAATTACCATAAATTTACACGTTGAGTATCGAATAATTCGATCAAAAATCATGCGAGGTTGTAAAAAACGTGTTTTGGTTCGGTCATACACGCATAGCCGTGTAGCCGACCTCGAAAACACGCATCACCCCCGACGACGACCGCAGCACTGACGGCTATCGAAGCACCGGAATGCTTGGGGACACACCTAGAAAGGATCGCTGAGAGAAATGCCGCGCAAAGAAACATGTCTGGGAGACAGATATGCACCAAAAGCAATTACGCCATGTCGCGGGACGTGGCGAACCCCGCGCTTATCGCGCTCGCTGCCATTCCTGCCATTCCTGCCATTGATTCTGGTCGATGACAGTGCGGCTTTCCTCATGTCGCCCATGTTTGTATTTATTTTAAGGGTCTTGATAATAGTTTCTTACATACCACAAATAAAATTATGGGACTAATTACTCGTTCTAAACAGTTAAAATTGGTATAAAAAGCGTGCCCTCGATCTGAACACGTGACATTGCAGTTGGTTTCGTTTTGCCTTCAACCCTTCAACTGCAAGCGAAGGTGCCGTCGCTTCTTATGCACCCTCCTCAGCATTTACGGCGCTCCGTGGTGGGCCGCCGTATTAAAAATGTATACCAGTTGCTGCGTCTCTAGGTCGTCTTTAAGTTAGAGCTGACAGAGAAAATCTGGCCACGGCGCAACGCTGATGTACGCTGGAAGCTAGAGCCGGTTTGCTTTCGTTACCTTTGTTTGGTCGGTAAAAATCTGGCAACAACGCACGTTTAGCATGGCGCCGGTATTGTTTTGGTTTGTCGGGACGCTAGATGCTCGTAGGTTTGCAAGCACATGTTGCGAAGACGTGACCGGAGAAGTGCCCCTGTGATGTTCCCAGAAGACGGAAAGTATCAATCGTAATCGTCGTGAGTGCTTTGAAAGCGAAGAGAGCCACAGGGTCCACGAGTGCGCAACCACAAGCCAAGGTTCACTACAGCGCGGCGTTGACTTCGGCGATCTCGTCCTGTTTGGTGCAACACGGCGATGCGAAAAAGAGCTGAAACGTTCGTCGTGTGTAGTGCGGTGTTTTGTGTTCCGGGTCTGTTTGAACCGCGCTTTTAACACGGAGCGCAAATTCTTTGTTGCGGGGTGGAGGTTCAACGGGTTCAGTCCCATCGTCGTCAGCTGATCCGGTCCAGCTGGTCCGGGAGGACGCAGTGAGCGTTTTTAAAAGTAAATCTTCCTTCGTTCCATTTCAAACTGTGGAAGTATCCCGACAGATACCGTGAGTAAGAAGCAGCGGGCGTTTTCAAGAAAATTACGTCGTTTTAATTGAAAAATGGACTCCGGATTGTTGTCCTAAATCTGCCGTTTTTATGCTTCGTGTTGGACTGCGTTTGTACAGCGACGCACATCGCTCGAGTAGATGATTCGGTCCTGCAAGGAGTGTGTTGCGCCCATCATGCGGCGTGAATAAATTGGCAAGGTTTCCTACCTCCCCACAGATGCATGTACTGAGAACATTTTTTACGCAGTGAATGTAGTGCTTTTTCTTTATTTTGGGAAGAAGCGTTGGTGCATTTATTATGGTACAATCACTCGAGAGTTGAGAAATTGGAGAGCGAGCAAGCTTTCCCAACTTTGTCTCTTTCTCTGTGGCACTGCCCTGTTTCAGTTTCAGTAGGCATATCTACTAGCAGGTACAAACTGCTCTAACGCAGGTAAAAAATAGGGGAAGCTTAGGACGCTGCGGACTCCATGTTTCGCGCTTTTCGCAAGGTGACGGGGTCAATGCTTTTGTGAGGTATGCGGAATATGCAAGCGATTTTGTTATGCCCGTCGTTTGTGTCTCTCCAGCTCCCAAGCCCCACCGCTCCACTCGACACCGACACGACATACGACAACAAACTGCATCAAAACGCCCGAAAAGTGAAGGCGTCTGCTCCCGTACTGCAACTAGCGGAAGTGAAATGTTGGGCGGATATCCGTCACAAAAATATATAGAAAATGCTTTGCGCAAGGATCATTTTCATTTATTATTGTATACGTAATGACAAAATCCCAATAATTTGTTTTCCTATCTGATTCAAGCTAGTCGGACTGCTCATAACACTGGTCACGCAGAAAAATAACAAAAATTTGAACTTTTTCGTAACCGGTTTAAGATTTATTGTTAATATATCGTTATTTGTCGCAACGGACTAACATTATAGATTGTGCCTCTATACTTTTTAAATGCAAACAGTTCTAACACACGGCTGTCCATTGCGCCGTGTTTTGTGTCTTTATAAATCTGTAATGGTCAGCGACCAAAGAGCTCACCCGCACATGTCAAGCTTATATGCGCCGCGGGGAGAAATGGATATCGAGTAGGAAGTGTCGGGTATAGTGTCGTTTTTGTGTTTGTGTACATGTCGGCGCTGTGTAATACGTGGTACTGGTGTTGCCTGCGTTGTATGTTGGGTTGCTGTCGTTGCTGTCTGGTCGTGGTCGTTCGCAGTGTATTAACAGACTCGTCGTTTTTTTAAATATAGGCTGCTAGAAATCTCGATAGGTGGCTCAAGTTACCGCCCGATTCTAAATAGATTGCTCAGATTATTTATCCATGTGAGTTCGGCATTCGTTTTTTTTTTTTTGTCTAGCGGCTCCGTTGAAGCTACCGACGCTGCCGACCGCCGACGACGCACGTACGTACCTTTGCACGAAGCGAAGTCCGCGGCTTGGAGACTTTATTGTGTATAAAAGACATCAATCGAGAACCAACGCGTCCTGTGTGCTTTCAATTCGGCTGAAAGGCGCGCGGCTCGCTGGGCTCGTCTCTCGCCTGTTCTCGGCCGCTGGCCGCCATGTTTCATAAGGAACACGCTCGAAACGTGTTTTGCGGAAGGCAGACACGGTGTATCGTGATAAGTTTACACGGCACCTCGTGTGTAGACAAAAAACACACATGGCTGTGTGTAAAACGAACACGTTTCGACGTGTCCGCTAAGGGACAACGGTTTACACGTCTGGGCGTGTTATTTTTGCTAACAGTTGTGGGAAACACGTGTTTTCCGTCTCCCTATCTAGGCCTAGCACAAGCAGGCCGTGGGAGCGTTATGGCGACGACATCCCGGATACGGGGGTAAGGCCGCATTCCTCGAAGAGGGCGTGTCTACCCTCGCCCTTTTGGGTGAAAGTGCCTCCGGCGCACCCTTCGGAAATGATTGTGGACGCGGCCCACCTGCGGGATAAGCCACACTACCTACCCCGGGCGCGTCCACTTTCCGCTGGCTAGATAAGCGGCCGCGAACGGCGGCCCGGGCTCTCGTCCGGGGAAGGCTCTGGGCCACGGAGCCTCGTTCTTTTTGGAGCTTTCCCCATTCCACGAATCTGCCTAATGCGGCAGCGTGGGCCCCCTCCAGGTGAATCTGTCTAATGCGACAGCGCCGACCCTTTTCCGTTCTTTCTTTTATTAGTTTGGCCGATGGGCACAGCGTGGTGGCACAGGAGCCAATTAAACCCGCTTCTTCAGTATCTTTGTGTTTTGGAGTGAATCCTCTCCTCGGAGTCCACGGCAGCCTCCGGACGGACCCGGCCGTAGCAGTCCTCAACATCGAGCTACGGAGTGGGATCGACCTCGTGGTGCAGTAAGGCAAGTCGAATCCCACACAGTGTAGGGTGTCTCAACGGGGCCCGTTGCTCTCTTGTCTTGAGCAGCGCTCCAGGCCGACACAGATAATATTTGTAGGTCGTGTTTCGAACTTGGGTCATTACACTTTTCCACTAGAGCATCTATGTTTCGTTCGATTGCAATTTCCAGCGTAGCAGAGGCTAGAAGAGCGAGGTCAGAACCAGGGTAGTAAAAGTTACTTCAAAAATGTAGCTTAGAGACAATCACAGTTAGTCATATAAAAGGGTACCTAGGTACGTACCTTGGTACTCACTTAAAATGTACCTATGGAGACAGGTACAGTTACTTCAAAGATATTTTCTTTATTTGTTTTCCCAAAATTTGTCGGAATATATTGAAAGTAAAGCTTTTTATATTAAATATAGCCACAAAAATGAGTTCGATAAATGATTTTATTGGTGTCAATGAGACAAATGAGGAAAACCATGTAGCAGAGACGGCAGGTGCCACAACCACACAACATCGTACCATCCTGCCGAAAATGGTATGGTTTAGCGCCTACATCACCAACTCAAGACGGCACTCATGACTAGAGAAGATTGAAACCATTGGGTCAACTATCTTCCTCTTGTTCTCCTTGGAATTCGCGGCACCTTTAAGACGGATTTAACTTGCACCTCAGCCGAACTGGTTTACGGCACAACACTTCGATTACCAGGAGATTTTTTACGTGCCCATCATAAACACAGCCTGACATAGCTTCATACCTTGAAGAGAGGAGAAAATTCTTCACTACCCTACGGCCGGTCCCACCAAGACAAGGAACACAAAGACGGATTTATATAAGTGAAGATCTGGATACGAGCCCTCACGTATTAATGAGTCGGGATACGGTACGCGCACCTCCCATTCCCTCGTACGACGGACCATTCGAAGTAATTTCATGCACCGAAAAAACTTGTACGGTCAACATCAATGGTCGTCATGACGTTGTCACACTCGATCGAGTAAAACCCGCATACTTGGACTCTTCCCTGACAGACCTTGTGCTCCTGCATCATCCATCAGCCGTCACACCTGCTCAAGTAAAAGCATCCGTTAAACCACCGACTCCCCAAAGGACCGTGACGTGGGCCACAACCACAGGGGTTGCTCCACGACACTAGGGGGGGGGGGAGGGGGGGATTCTGTAGCAGAGACGACAGGTGCTACAACCACACGGGTTGTAGAAAACACCCGAGTGAATGTACCTCCAGACTAAAAACAACCGAGGCTCCACTGCGCCGAGCACGGTGCCGATGAGCGCGCCTGCTCAGGCTACCGCGTGGCTTCGGGAGCCACGAGAAATATAAGACTATATGCCTTTTGAACTGAACTATGAGCTGGACGTCCTTTTTTGTCCTCCGACGCTTTCGAACACACCGCCGACAACCGCATTCACATAAGAATTCCAGGGCACGTTATATTTTTCACGTAAGCCGTCTATTTGGCTTTAGAATCAGAACCTTCTCGAAGTGTTCATCTGACATCTTCGATCGCAGTTTAGGAGTACAGAAGAGAATACACCACCTTTCCCAAATACAGGGGCTTTAACACAAACTGCGCACATCTTTCAAGTTATCTCCTCCCTTGTATAGCTGTCAGAGGAGTTTCAAACACGCAATGAAGTTGATTTTTGTTTGAAGGGAAGCAAGCAGGTTGCTAGTTTCCTTAAACGCAGTTCTAAAGGGATTCGATAAATCGGTGTCGGTAGAACGGCATCGCTAATCCATTGCTCGCTCAAATTAACACCACCATTCGCTAAAGTGTCGTTCGATGAAACATCATCAGCGGGGCTTCGTTCGCTAAAACGTCGTTCGATCAAGTCACTTCTATAAGAGTGACTTGAACGCCCCTATAGGAGGCTATGGCACGAGTGATTGCAAGCCTCCCAAAGACATATTCTCGAGCTTGCTGCTGGTCAGTGTCGGTTGCGTTTCTTTGTCGTTCAGGGAGGACTCAGCCACAAAAATAAAGGCTGGTTCACAGAGCAACGTTTTCTTACGTTTCTTATGTTAGGTAGAAGCATAGCCTCCTATATACTGACAGAGCCTGGCAGATCGCCACGAGAAGGGGCCGCCGAAATGGAAAAGGGTCATTCCATCTGAAACGTCCCAGACGTTGCGCTCGACCACCTGCGATTTCTAAAAAAAAATTCATGGGCTTCGGCCACAATGTCCGTAGCCATACCCTAAAATAGTTTTGACGAAAAAAATTTGTGATGACGTGGGCGCGATTTTAATTTTTGAAAACAGCGTGAAACTAGGCATCACTCAATAATTTACGAAAAATCAGCTTTTTTATGAAACACAAAACAATATTTTTTTCTTAAATTTGCACGGTCGTCGGCTTAAAATGTGGTTGAGTTTGTGCTGTTTTGTTTAACTTAAATATTTTTAAAAAATACATAATTTTATTCAAAAATCAACATTTTTGTCACTTTATTAAAAAAATATATAAATGCTCCCGGGACCTAATATAACTTTTTAATGGTTGCCCTCTAGGTATATAACCTATAAAAAATATTTTAGACCCCTCAATTAAATATCTTGCAGTAAAAAAAAATCCTGAAGTCGCCAAAAAGTGCGTTTTGACGCATGAACAGCCGTTTATTTCACCCTGAGGTGGTCCAAGTAAAAATACAAAATATGGTGGGTTTGGAAGACCGATTGATCGTCTTTTGATTCTGAAAGTTTAATCAAAGTTATTTTTGTTTAAAGCGAGAAAACAATTTTTGAATTTGAACTCTCGCACCACTACCCGGAGTCGCTTCTTAAACGCCTCTTCGCCGCACAGCACGCCACATGCGACAATAGCCGAACCGATTAGGTCCAAAGAAACAACGGAGTTTGCTGCCCGCTTCCCCTCGTACCTCTTTTCTGGCTGTAAGGGAAGAAACGGCGGGTATCGTGAACTAATCGGGGGTGCCGCCAGTGCGTAGCCATAGCATAGCCATAGGGAATCCATTGAACTCTTCTCTCGACTGCGGAGAGATTTGAAACGGGCGCATCACACTTGTGGGAGGAGCTTCTCCTACCTTCTTGACTTGTAACTGACTATATAAATCCTAATTTCTTCGAGAGTTCTAACATTTGTTTTTCAAAATATGATAGCTTTTTTTTTGCGCCCAGTATAGCTCTGTATCATCGGACAGATGGCATGCACTCGTACACTGGCTCGTACTCGCAACGCTTTCATCATTGACCTCCATCACGTCGATCCACTGACTCTTCTTCCTAAACCTTTACAGCACGCAAACTAACCAACGGTGCAGCGATAAAGAGCTCGCGGAACTGAAACTTCGTTCTCTACGATCGCTTGTACGAAGTGCAGAATAAAAAAAAAAAAATTAAAAAAGTCTTAGGTGCGGTGGCGGAGAGCACGAGGAGTGAGACCCAAGTGACTTCCGGCAAACCCACTTTTAGTGACGTAGGTCGATGCCTCCTCCCTTCTGAGCGCCCCAACACCTTGCTGCACACTCTTACGTCACAGTGTACTGGCGAGAACTTTAAACTAGGTCTCGTATTTCTATTTTTTATTTTAAAAAAAAACTACGCAACTCTATAGTGAAACATTTTTTTTTGTAATATCCTGATTTGTCATTTCAACGCCTAGCATGAAAAAAAATTAGTTTTGGGATATCAGGGGCCATTACCGGACTGAAATTGGTTTTGAACACCATGCATATTGATTGACCTAAAAACCTTTACATCTGATATTAAAGTGCCGACAGGGAACAACACAAAGCTGCTTCACATTCCTGCAGGGATCAAAGTTGAACTTATATTGGAATATAAGTTGCCCTATGTTCAGTGTTTGCATACAGTATTACGAATTCACACGGTGTTGAGGTGAAATTCCCAATTCAGGTACCAAAATAATGAAAAATGATACTTAGGCACACAATCAGCAAGGAATTAGAAATAAAGATAAGGTAATCTTTTTCAGATTTTATAGCATTTTGTTAAATTTAGTATCAATTTCATACGAAGAGAGGAGAGGAGAGGGGCGGGGTTCTTTGAACATTTGTGGGTCAACGGCGTGCATCAATGTTGACCAAAGTTCATTTTCTTTCGTGGTACACTTATTCAAAGCAGAGGTTTCGACGGTGCACAGCCGGCAATGAACCATGTAGACACAAATCATTAAATACCAGTAACACCGAAGAAGAACGGCGTTTTTAACTGCCGTTCTTTTATACTAGGTTAGAAGAAACACTGGCGGATACCTTTAGGTTTACGAGGATGTCTCCGTGGTACGCGACGTCCTTCCCGATGGCAACCAGCACGTGCTCGTATCCCCCGTCCTGCTCGTTGACGGTAGCTGTATCCACACATCCCAGTGAGGCGAACACCAGGGAAGTGAGGAGCATCGGGTTCATCATCACCTTCAGGGAACGTAGCCAAAGTCACAGCAACGCTATCTTTAAGTGGCATAGTAGTAGTTGCTATGTACTATCGCGGACACTATTAGCTATAACATGTCAGCCATGGCCGTTCCGTACCCCATCGCCACATAGCAGGCGCACTCCGACACACCGTGCATACCGCCCTATACCCTGTGCGGCGGATTTACTCTTCCAGGTTGCGATCACACTCTCTCTCCGTAGTCTGCTAATCGCAAAATAGACGCCACCGCAGCACTTGCTGATGTTTTGCTTCACAGACTTTTTTTGCGTGCCTCTTTCGTTGGCGTAACCTGGAAGAGCAATTCAACTGTACAGGGTAGGTGTGGAAGGCTCGGTGTTTTTGGGTGCTCCTGCTATGTTGCGCTGGGGGTAAGGAATGGCCGTGGCTGCCGTGTTATAGCTAATATTATTCGCAATATTACGCCTGTTTATTGTTCAGTCATGGCTGCATGCACTAGACGCCTTTTGTTTTGGAGACTTTAGGTGCCTGGTAAAGATATCTGAATTCGCGTTAATGTTGGTTCACACACCACCGTTTGTCTCGGTTTCCGTAATTTTTGTTAAAACACAATATTTTTGGTACCTCCCCTTTCGATAAAATTACTGATTTCCTGTTGCCCAGTTTAGTAGAAAAGCAGCTTTCTTTAAAAAAATAACTGTTTTTGGCAAATGAAAAGAAACGCGTTACTGTTCTGGAAGCTTGTGAAGCAAAACATTCTCTTCTTAAAGAAAGAAAAAAATGTCTTAAAAAAAAGCGTGTTTCTGCTCTGAAATTTTGTGAAAAATAAAGGGTGTTTTTTCCAGGTTGAGAGAAAAGTTTAACGGCGAACTGCATCGCTGGTAGTTACCTCGCCATTCAAGCTATAAATGCGCAAAAAATCTTGAGAATACGATACAATTCACTCACACATATACACAGAATGTCACATAAATAACAACAACAAAGAAGCCAAACCCATCGTGCACCCTCCTGTACGCTTACCACGTTCACACGCTCGCTACATGTGGGGGATGTATTTTTCGAATTCGACTTGCCCGGTGACTGCGTCATTCGTCACATAAACACGTAGAGGCTGACTAAGTATTACTTCTACTAGATATTTTTTTTTTTAAATGCTCACAGTGAATATTTTTTATCACTCAATCCTGTGGCTTTCGGAATGCCACAGCAAATTAAGTAACTAAAATTCATTATTTAAATTTTATTATTATCTGAAAAATTATGTTGAAATGCATTATTGACGCTGATTTATGTTTAAGGCTATAAGAATGATAAGATCTTAGTTAATAATTCAATTAGTGCGACGACTGCTCTCCCATCTAACGCACACTGAGCACCAAAACACACAGGGAAGGCACGGAATTAATGTAGCTGCCGTACCCTCTTTTTATAAAAATCTGTTCGATTTAAAATCGAACGTCTCGTATATTAGCTACGACAAAAATTACAAACCGAGAAATCATTATCAAATTTGTGTATGTGTAGAACTACTCCTCTACCGATGCATTGTTAACCGCGAACGCTAAATCGCTTATCCCCTGAACTTCCCTTTTTATTTCGACAAAGTTGGGGTCTGGCTTTTTGATCCCTAATGCAAGCCTTCTCTACTCCCTTTTTAAGGGTCAAAATATCACGAAAGGTTGGCGTTCTAAACACTGGGGCAGTTCATAGGGTTCTACTGCCACCATACGGCCGCTACTGCCGTGAACACGGAGGAGTTTTCGTCCCTGTTTCACTCGCCACTAGACAGCGCGGCAGGTAAATTGGTGAAATGGAGGAACCAAGCAACGTCGGTCCCTTTCTTTGGCGACAGGGAAAAAATAGCTTTGGTTTTCACTTCTCCTCCCGTTTTCTTAAAGCGCAGTTGTAGTTATTATGGTTGCCGTAGTGGGGCGTAGGGTGTCCGTCGTCAATGTTGAATAATCCTTGAAGATCTCCCGCCCCAAGCGGCAATCGAACCTGGGTCCGCTAAGTGTGAAGCGGGGCATTGCCACAGACCTACGCTCGTTTTCTTCTTTTTATTAACAACATTTATCTACATTACGTTTTACAGTTTGTGCATGGCAGATGAGACCTGCGTGGTACCATCGCTACTGCGCTGTCTGGGAAAACGGCCTTCGGGCTGGAGCTTGCAGATTAAAAACGAAGGTAGAACAGAAAAGTAAAACCGCCGAGTGCAGACTTGGGCGCCAGTGTCTCATTTCGCGCCGAGGCCCTGCCTCCGGCCTGCCCTAATAAGGAGCTCTCCACGAGGCCCTGCCTCCGGCCTGCCCTAATAAGGAGCTCTCCACCATCCGTCTTTTTATACGTGCGGAGAGGTCGGCCTAGCACTCCAAACCAGGCTGATCTGTTTCCTCTGTTACTGAGGTCACATAGCAAAAGTCCTTTACAAAATGACGCCAGGCTGGCTTCCCACCCTACACCGCATGCAAGCACTTTGTCCTTGAGCGCCCAAGCACCCATAAACCCAAAAGGGCGAGTACCTCCCGTGCTATGACAGTGGAACTTTTTACAAAAATTGGGAACTTCGCCTTTTAGCACTCCACATATATTAGATCGATATGAAGTTTTCCCGTGAACATCTCGGCGTTAATACATTGTACAAGCCCATCTTGCAAGGTTTCGGGGAAAGGACAGAGTGCGCGGCAGTCAACCATGTCTCAAAAGATTGCTTTTGAACCAGAAACGTTTGTATGTGCAAAACGTTAAAGTGAAAGCGCAAAAAAAAAAAGTTTTTCATCGCTGTTTTAACGGGATATTCGCGGACCCGGTGGAAGACATCCATTGACCCTTCTGAGTTTCCCATTCATGAACGACACAAGGGAGGTAGGATCAATAAATCTGAGGCGTCCCAGTACGATATCCTTCGCCGAACCTTGCTTTATACTCAGTGTTTTTTGTTGTACTCTATGCGGACTACACGCGCTCTGTGGAAAAATAAGAGCCGATAACAAAATGTCGTCGTAGCACTGTCAATGCCAAGAGTTCGTGCTGGGAGAAAGGCTTTCACGCGCTCAAAGGCATAACAAAAAGAAGAAACGAAATCGTTTGGAACAAAATGGTCAGACAATTATTTTGTTCCGAGCGCTTTTGTGCACGCACCCGACGGTGCGCGAACGCCACGCCACGCCTATGCCTAAGGACTTCTCCGTGACTTGCTGCTGCTATCGCTCTGACTGTACTGTAGAGTAACACAGGACTTCGCGATATTTATGTACAGTACTATATCCTGTATTGCAAGCGATCGTTCCTTCATAAAATAATTTCGTTCAGCTATGACTTCTTTCACTGACTTAATGATCACCAGTTACGGAAAGGGGGAAGCCCGAATGAAGAAATACGTGGCACCGCTTCTCTCAAAGATGCTAATCTGGTGAATGCACAAATATACAGGGTGCCCCGAAATTCGTTTAGTATTTTCGTTTTTATCTCAAAAATAATTTACACAATGCTGAGCGCCCAGTCTCTACCAAATGCAGCGCTAGTGGCCTGGTTTAGCTGCCAAGTTTTCAGGATTTGCTGTTATACCAATCAAAAGTTTTAAGCCGGTTTCAGAATTTTTGAAGGGAAAAATGGCGGCCGCCGGAGCCACTGAGTATTTTGAGAACGGCGCCAGTTACAAGAAACGGGTTCCTCTTTCCTGCGGAATTTTTTTAAAAATCAGGTATATAACTTTTGAATAACGTAGCGACGGTACAGCCATTGGGCCAGTTGAGGTCTTGGGAACCAATTTCGAGACCTTCAGTGAAGGCCAACAGGAAGTAAATTCCAGTTGACCTTTACGAAAGGTCGACGGAAGGTGAACTGACAAGAACAGCGCACAAAGTAGATCCGATAACAGCTGCGGGGACCGACGGTATTCTCATGTCCATCATTTGAGGTTTGGGAAGGAAGATGCGAGCGGTGGTGGCCGAGAGCCTCACAGAGATCATCACCAAGGCCAAGATTCCAGACTGTTAAAAGGACACACGTGTTAAACTACTATATAAGGGAAAAGGAGAGAGGACAGAGCCTAGAAAGTATTCCACACTATGTATCACCTTAGTGCTGTATAGGATCTGTACCTTGATCACAAGAGCAAGATTACAGCGATGGGCGGAGAAAGAAGGGGTGCTGGAGGAGCTACAGAGCGCCTTCCGCACGGGAAGATTTGTAGAAGATAACCTTTTCGGTCGTCACATAATGCATCGAGGTGGCAGCCCAGCTTTGCAGTACTTCTTAAGTCAGTTACAGGTTAACAAACGTTTTCGAGGGAAAGGAGGGAACGGGAGGCGGAAGCAGACGGAATGCTAGGAGGAGAAGAGGAAATCACCTCCTCTCTTCAGCATTCTGTCTGCTTCCTCCTCCCCAGCCAGAAAACTTTTCTTAACCTGTTACTGACTATAGATATTGGGGTGGAGGGGGGGTGGGGGGATCGGTGGCCGAGTGGTCTAGCGCACACGAGCTCGGAGCACGTGGAGAGAAAGCTCGCGCTGCAGAACCCAGGGATCCCGGGTTCGATCCAAACCCCTGCCCGCTTCGATCTGGATGGGATGGTACCGGCCTACGGTCGTGTATCACTACAACGTGGAGCACTTTGAAGACCACAGGCTGGCGGTTGTACTGCACTGGCTAAATTGCTCACCTACAGCAGAAAGACAAGTCGCGCGTTGAGGCAGACTAAGCTCTAGGCTGTGAAAACATACAAACAACCCAATTTTTTATATATATGTGAATGGCTATGACAGGGGATCAAGGTATATTGTGGAAAAGACTGAGGGAGCTGATTTGGACGAAAAGATATGAAACTCTAGAAGCACTGTATTCTGGGATTGCTATACAATTTGAATGGTTGGGACACAAGATGAAGCCAATGTGTTCATAGGCCTGACACAGGGGTGCTCTCTATCCCCCTGCTTTTTATGCGATACATTACACCATTAGAAAAAAGCTTTGGAGCAGGCGGGAAGTGGTTTCAACTTGTTATACATGGTTG